AGGGACGGGGTCTTGGCGGGGACCTTTTGTTTTGGGGTGAGCAGGTCCCTGGCTTCTGTGTGTCTGTGTCGGGCCTTGGAGGGCTGGAGCGGCGGAAATGAACCCAGATGGCCTGTCCAGGCCGAGCCGGGGGCGCGATCCCCAAGTGGGAAGGCTAGTCAGAACCTGCGCGGGGCACCCTCTCGGTTTAGGAGGAACCCCCGCCCGCCCCCAACCCACACCCCGCATGAGGGCATCCCCGATCGGATCAGTGGGGCCCCTATCCCGCTACCCCCAGACTGAGGGCCAGTATCCCTCAGAGGAATGGATGAAGCCCTGGTCACTTCCACGCCCATCCCACCCACTTCCTGCCTCTCTTCTTGGGCAACAAAGGGGCCTCGGGAAGCTGGGCCCCTTCGGCTCCTGGCCCAGTTATGCCCTGTTGGTGTGGAGCAGGGTTACGGTCTCTTCCTGGCCATTGTTTGCCCTGGGGGAGGGGAGAGACTGGGGCAGGACCCCCACCGCCCACCCACCAAATGCCCCCTTCACCCTGCTAAGGGGTTCGCCTTCCATAATTAGGTCTTGGGCTGGTTGGATCCCCTGTGTGGGCAAGTTTTGCTTCCAGAGGTTATTTTAAGAAATCCTCGAATCTGTCAGGCCTGAGTGTGGGGGAGGGGTCCTCTTTTTATTTCCTTAAACAACTTCCTGTTGGGAGGGCCTGGGGGAGGGCCTAGAGGCCAGAGAAGGTTTTTCGGAGTGTCCACTCCTTCAGCTGACTCAGCTCCTCCCCCTCTCTCCTTAGGGAGACCCCATGGTCCTTTGGAGTGGTGGGGGCTGAGGCCAGGTGTGGGAGAGGACTAGGTCTCTGCTCCAAGGACAGGGACAAGGGGAGAATCCCCGGGTTCTTGTAGAGGACTGATCAGGTCTAATGTCCTGTCAGTGCCTCCTGGCATGGGCCTGTGTGGGCCCCCTTCCCATGTGTTTGCTCTGGCTATGATTCTGACCCTTTCTTTTCCCCCAGCAGGGCAGCTGGCCTGGAGCTTATAGCTGGGGCGTGTGCCATGGCCCCACACTGGGCTGTCTGGCTGCTGACAGTGGGGCTGTGGGGCCTGGGCATCGGGGCTGAGGTGTGGTGGAACCTGGTACCCCGGAAGACGATATCTTCTGGGGGTGAGTGCCTGAAGTCGGAGGAGACAGACCAGTGTGGGGAGTGGGAAGCCAGCAGGCACTGCTGGGGGAAGAGAGATGCTAAGGAGTTGCCCTCTAGAGTCTGCCAGCTTTATTCTGCTGTCATCAGTGTCAGGAGGCCCACTGATGCATGGGACCCAGCTTTCTAAGAAGTGTGAGTGAGTGGCCCCAGGGACCCAGAACTGGTAGTCCAGCTCAGGACCTGGGCTTTCCCTGTCCCTGATGCTTAGGACCTGGCCACTCTAATTTTGCAAAGGACATGGACCATTCTGCATCGCTATCACCATGCTTCACTCCTAGAATTGTCCCTTGCACTGAGAGCCCAGTGAGAGAAACCTGAGCCAGGACATGTGGAGAGCCAAGGGTGTCACCCCCCCCCCCCGCAAGTCTTACCCTGCCCCCAGGAACCCCCTTATCAACTCTGATGGGCCCCCTTCTGCCCTGACACTCGTGCCCTCTGGTGGCCTTGGATGGGTATGTATATGTGCACGTGCTCATGTGGGGGGACAGTAGACCTGACAGCTCTTCCTGTGCAAACACACATCTGTTGAAGAGGTGATGTCAGGTGTTTATATCATGCCCTGCACTCTGGGGACCTGGGATGAGCCCAGCTCCCACAGGCTGCACTCAGGTGCTAATGAAGCTCTCCCTTGCTGGCCTGTGTCTGGGCCCATCGTTGGCTCCAAAGACTAAGGTTAGTTTAGGGGGACCGTGAGGACAGGTCGGCAGCTAATTCGGGGGCCGACATAGGGATCTTGTGACGATATGAATGCTGTAGTGCCCTGCCTGGTGAATGCCACCGAGGCTTCCCAGCCCCAGGCTTTAGTGCCGTCTCTGGTTCTAGCCTCCATTTCCCCTGCGATCCCTGCTTGTCCCAGTGGCCAGCTGTGTGGCCTGGATTTGTCTGGGTCTGGCTGGAGTGGAGCGTTTCCTCAGACAAGGAGTGCTTACAACTGCTATGCGTCCTGCCTTCCTGGATCTGGGGCCGGGGCCTGGCTAGACCCTCACACGGGCAGCAGGACAAAGAAGGAAGTGGCAGCTGAGGAAACTGGGAGGGGGAAGTGCCCAGCTCTGTGGCCAGAGGTACTGCTGACCCCGAGTGAGAGCCATCAGTCTGATGGCTTCCTTTGGCCGGAAGCTGTGGTTGAGATATCCTTCCTTCCTCCTCACAGCCCAGATGTGCCTCCTCCCAGGCTGGGAAAGGCCAGGGAGGCCTGGGGGAGCTGTCAGAGCCAGGCAGCGATTCAGGAAATGCCCTTTATTGCCAGTCAGGCAGCTGGGCTGCACTGCTTGTGGGGTGCTGGCCCTAATGTGGGGAATAGGGATGATTAGGCTCAGGAGACCATTGTATAGAGGAAGGCTGATTCGGGGTGTGGGGGGGGGCGGTGTGTAGCCTGGAGCCCTAGGAAGGCTGCCTATCACAGCCGTGCTCATTCCCGCCTTGTCCCTGCAGAGCTGGCCACAGTGGCACGGCGGTTCTCTCAAACGGGCATCCAGGACTTCCTGACACTGACCGTGACCGAGCAGACCGGACTCCTGTACGTGGGGGCCCGGGAGGCCCTGTTTGCCTTCAGCATGGAGGCTCTGGAGCTGCAAGGAGTGGTGAGAGGTGGGAGAGTGGGAGGCACACAGGAGGGTGACAGGCAGTGCCGAGGGGCTGCCCCTACCCCACGTCCTCCCTTGTGGGAATGTTGCTGGGTCTGCCACGCCCGCCCTCTCCGCAGAGTAAGAGTTACCTTCCCCTTGTCCACAGCACTTAACTGGGTTCTGCTGCCATGGGGCCCTCTGGGGCCTGTGTCCTCTACTGAAATAATCTCCCAGAGCATGGGGAATGTGTAATGTCTCTTGGTGTCCCCATGCTGCTGTCACAGATCATGCTGTGTACGTGCTCAGAGTATACCTGTGATGTTGCTGACATGCCCTCTCCCTGTCCCCAGATCTCATGGGAGGCGCCTGCAGAGAAAAAGGCTGAGTGCATCCAGAAAGGGAAGAGCAACCAGGTGGGTGCTCGGGGACAAGAGGGTGGGCAGGGCTGCAGTGCCTCCCACTGGCTGGGCCTCATGGTGTGCGTTCTCTGCCCTGGGCTCCCTTCGTTCCAGTGCTGGTCTTGGTCCCCATCCCAGTCCTTGTGTCCCCATACCCAGGCCCTCACCCTTTACCTGGATCCATTTTCCTTCCCAGACGGAGTGTTTCAACTTCATCCGCTTCCTACAGCAATATAACGCGTCCCACCTGTACGTGTGTGGCACCTACGCCTTCCAGCCCAAGTGCACCTATGTGGTGAGTGCCGCGCTCACTCTCAGCCCTCCTCCCATCTGCACATGCGCCTTCTGCATCTCACTCCCACTGTCTCTTCCCCACCCCAGGACATACTCACCTTCACCTTGGAGCGCAGAGAGTTTGAGGATGGGAAAGGAAAGTGTCCTTATGACCCTGCTAAGGGCCACACTGGCCTCCTTGTGGGTGAGTGGCTGACCCCGCTCCAGGCTGGGGTGTCCCCCAGGACTCGTTCCTATCTTCACTTTCTTTCTGGCCTGGCTGACCCTTTGTCTCTGTAGACGGCGAGCTGTACTCAGCCACACTCAACAACTTCTTGGGCACGGAGCCTGTTATCGTGCGTAACATGGGGCCCCATCACCCCATGAAGACAGAGTACCTGGCTTTCTGGCTCAATGGTGAGTCCCGAGCAGCTGTCATGGGGACTGGGGGAGCTGTGGGGGGGTCACTACCAGGGCCTCTCTAAGCCTCCTTCACTTCCCATAGAACCTCATTTTGTTGGCTCTGCCTATGTCCCCGAGAGCCTGGGTAGCTTCACTGGCGACGACGACAAAGTCTACTTCTTCTTCAGTGAGCGGGCTTTGGAGTATGACTGCTACACGGAGCAGGTGGTGGCCCGTGTGGCCCGCATCTGCAAGGTACAGAAGCCTGCGGTGGTAAGCACTGGGAGCCCTGCTGGCTGGGCTGGGCAGGGCTGACCACCAGTGTCCCCTTGCCATCTGCCAGGGAGATGTGGGGGGTGCACGGACCCTGCAGAAGAAGTGGACCACGTTCCTGAAGGCTCGGCTGGTGTGCTCAGCCCCCGACTGGCAGCTCCACTTCAACCAGCTGCGAGCACTGCACACCCTGCAGGACGTCTCCTGGCACAACACCACCTTCTTTGCGGTTTTTCGGGCACGATGGTGAGCCCGCTGGGACTCCTTAGGATGGGGAAGAACATGTCTGCATGGCTGGGGTGGTTTGTGGGTGCAGGCCTCTGTAGGAATCCAGGTGGCCAGTTGTCCAGAAGCAAAGGAGGATGTTGGGCATGTGCTCCCAGTGGGAGGGGGGCAATGCTGTGCCCCTGGGGGCACCTTACAGCTGCCATTGAGCGTGCCCATAACTGCTTCCTGCTGGGCCCTCCCCCCTGCATGTCCTGAGCCTAGGGTAAAATGGGCACCGAGCCTGACCCTTGGGCTCCCTCCCTTGCTGTGACAGGGGCGATGTGGACCTGTCAGCAGTCTGCGAGTACCAGCTGGAAGAGATCCAGAGGGTGTTCGAGGGTCCCTACAAGGAGTACCGTGAGCAATCCCAGAAGTGGGGCCGCTACACTGATCCTGTACCCAGCCCGCGGCCGGGCTCGGTGAGTCCTTGGGGAGGATGCAATGCTGCCCTCAGCCCCAGTGCCACTCCCTGCGGCTGACAGCTCTCCCCACACCCCGCCCTCCAGTGCATCAACAACTGGCACCGTCGCCACGGCTACACCAGTTCTCTGGAGCTGCCTGACAACACCCTCAACTTCATCAAGAAGCACCCGTTGATGGAGGAGCAGGTGAAGCCTCGCTGGGGCCGGCCCCTGCTTGTGAAGAAGGACACCAACTTCACCCACCTGGTGGCTGACCGTGTCACAGGGCTGGATGGAGCCACCTACACAGCACTGTTCATTGGCACGGGTAGGCACTTTTGCATGTGGGCCTGACTCCTGGAAGCTGGGTGAAGGCCTGTGTGCCTGAAACAGGGCCCTCATGCCCTCTTTGACGCCTGTTTTTCAACCTCCACAGGAGACGGCTGGCTGCTCAAGGCTGTTAGCTTGGGACCGTGGGTCCACCTAATTGAGGAGCTACAGGTGTTTGACCAGGAGCCCGTGGAAAGCCTGGTCCTGTCCCGGAGCAAGGTAGTGATCAGGGCCCACCCACCGCTGTCCCTCCACCTTCCCTGGTCTTCTGTTTTGCCCATACAGGGCTGGCAGGCACTCGAGGACACCTGGCTTAGCTTGAGTTTCAGGAAATGGGAGCGCTCTGCAGGTCTTCTATATATAGCTGGGTCCTTGAGGGGCTGCGTTCCCAGAACCTGGCCATGGCAGCTGCTCCTGGAGACCCCTCGAGTTTGGCCCAGGCCTCCGGCTGCTTGTTTGTGGTGCCCTCACAATGCCCCGTTGCCCCCCAGTCCCAACCCCCGTGGCTTCCTGCTTCCCTGAGGTGTGCTGCTAGCATTTTACCCTCTCTGGCCCATCTCAGCACCCTGAACTTGCACGGGCTTGCCTGTTACCAACTGTTGTGGCTCAGATTGTTCCCCAGAACATGGAATAATGGCAAAAAGCCTGGTTGAAGAAAGACAGATTGGCAATCACCATGCAAACAGGAAAAGGCCTTACGCTATGTTGGTGCTATTGTGATGGCTGGCGGGCCTTGCGGAAAAAGTACTTCTTACTACACTGTTTGTACTGTGTTGAGCTGTGCGTGTCTGCAATTATGCTCAGCCTCTCAGGGCTGCTCTTCTTTTCTAATCAAGTCATGGCTATAAGATGCTTAGGATGGCATCTAGCTTGTAGTAAGCCCTTCATGTGTCTGTGAGTCTCCCTTCTTTTGGCGCCTTTTGCCCTGTGCTCCCCTGTAGGAGTGTGAGCTGCACCTGGGGTGTGTCCTGGCCTGGCTGACCCTCCTGTGCCTCCATCTCTTGCAGAGGCTGCTGTTTGCGGGCTCCCACTCGCAGCTGGTTCAGCTGCCCCTGGCTGACTGCGTGAAGTACCGCTCCTGTGCAGACTGTGTCCTCGCTCGGGACCCCTACTGCGCCTGGAGCGTCAACACCAGCCGCTGTGTGCCCGTTGGTGGCCACTCTGGGTGAGCAGGGCTCTGCTCTTGCTGGAACCAAGGAGGGGAGGGCAGGTGGTTGGAGCGGGGGTGCTAAATGGACCCTGCTTCCCCCACCAGGTCCCTGCTGATCCAGCACGTGATAGTCTCAGACACCTCAGGCATCTGTAACTTCCGAGGCAGTAAGAAAGGTGAGCTGTTTTTTTGTCCCCCTCCTAGGGGGATGGGCCCTGGGTAGGAGCTGGAGTATCTGCATCTCCCCTTGGCCCTGGGTCTCCTGCACTAACTGCTCCCTCTCCTCTCCCTGCTGCTGCAGTCAGGCTCACATCCAAAAACATCACAGTGGTGGCAGGCACAGACCTGGTGCTGCCCTGCCGCCTCTCTTCCAACCTTGCCCATGCCCGCTGGACCTTTGGGGGCCGGGACCTGCCTGCAGAACAGCCTGGCTCTTTTCTGTATGATGCTCGACTACAGGCCCTGGTTGTGATGGCCGCCCAGCCCCGCCATGCTGGGGCCTATCACTGCTTTTCCGAGGAGCAGGGGGCACGGCTGGCTGCCGAAGGCTACCTTGTGGCTGTGGTGGCGGGCCCATCGGTGACCCTGGAGGCCCGGGCACCCCTGGAAAACCTGGGACTAGTGTGGCTTGCTGTGGTGGCCCTGGGGGCCCTGTGTCTGGTACTGTTGCTGCTCGTTTTGTCACTGCGCCGGCGGCTACGGGAGGAGCTGGAGAAAGGCGCCAAGGCAGCGGAAAGGACCCTGGTATACCCTCTGCAGCTGCCCAAGGAGCCCACTAGACCCCCCTTCCGGCCTGGCCCCGAAACTGATGAGAAACTCTGGGATCCTGTTGGCTACTACTACTCGGACGGCTCACTCAAAATTGTGCCCGGACACGCCCGGTGCCAGCCTGGGGCTGGGCCCCCTTCTCCGTCTCCTGGCATCCCTGGCCAGCCCCTGCCATCCCCAACTCGGCTTCAGCTGGGAGGTGGGCGGAACTCAAACGCCAACGGTTATGTGCGCTTGCAGCTAGGTGGGGAGGACCGTGGCATGGGGCTCGGGCACCCCCTGCCCGAGCTGGCGGATGAACTGAGGCGCAAACTGCAGCAGCGCCAGCCCCTGCCAGACTCCAACCCCGAGGAGTCCTCAGTATGAGGACCCTGCCACGACACGTCGGCGGGGCAGCCTGGGAGCCATGGCTCCCACTTTTGCACAGGCACCAGCTACCTCAGGGACATGGCGCGGGCACCTGCTTTGCTGGGACAGACCCTGCCCAGCACCCACCCAGCTATGAGGACCTGCTCTGCTCAGCATGGGCACTGCCACTTGGTATAACTTACCAGGGTACCACCCACCCAGAAGGCGCCTTTCTCCTCTCTGTGAGGGGCTGTGAATCGCGGACATGTGGGACCCCAGCAGCCAAAACTTCAAGGCAGAAGTTGGAGGTGTGTGTGTGCGTATGTATGCGTGTGTGTGTGCATGTGTATGTGCACATGCGTGTGTGTACACGTGTGCGTGCCTGTGCACACGGGCATGTTGGATAGCCTTCCTGTTTCTGTCAGTCTTCCCTTGGCCTGGGGTGGTCCTGGTAAGTCATTGGAGCTATGAAGGGCAAGGGGTCAGATCACTTTGCCTCTCCTATCCCCACCTGTCCACAGGGTGGGGCAGCGATGTACATATGGGGGTGGGTGGGGCAGGGTGCTGTGCTCCTTGGGGGAGTGCAGGGCTTTGGGGTGGGCCTAGCCCTGCTCTTAGGGTTGTGAATGTTTTCAGGGTTGGGGGGAGGGAGATGGAGCCTCCTGTGTGTTGGGGGGAAAGGGTGGGAGGGGCCTCCCACTTGGCCCTGGGGTTCAGTGGTGTTTTATACTTGCCCTCTATATACAGGACTGGGAGGGGAGAGAAGGTGGGCATGCTATGGATATGGCATATCCTCTCCCAGCCCTGGAGGAGGGCTTCTAATGGTGTAACTTATTGTGTCCCCTCATATTTATTTGTTGTAAATATTTGAGTATTTTTATATTGACAAATAAAACGGAGAAAATGAAACTGACAGATGAGACATTTGGGCTAAAAACCTGGGGGCCAAGAGGGAAGGCTCCCTGGGTTGAGTGAGGCTGGTCCAGACCCACCTCCCAATAGTCCTGTGCAGCCACCCCTTTTGTGGTCCCTGCCTGCCTGCGCCTCTCCAGAGGGGGATAACTTAGGCTCCAGTGTTTTCCCACAGTGGTGGCTGTGGGACTGGGAACCAGACCAGGGCCACAGCCTCTGGGGAGCCAGCCTTGGCTACTGGCCAAAGGGATAAGTCAGGGCATTGGGAGTCAAAAGCATAGAGGAACTTCCTGGAGGCAGCGTCAAGTTGTGGACTGGCTGTGAGTCTGGGGCTCCCAACTAAGTTAGGGGAGGAAGATCATGTCCAGCCTAATAAATACCCTCCAGCAATGTTAGTCTCGAGTGCTTCGGCTACATGGACATGGAACTTTCCCCAGGGCCACCCAGTGTTAACCAAGCCAGTGTCTAATGGGAGGAGAGGTACAGGGCCCAGCCTGGATTCTGTAATTCATGCCCACAGATAGAAGCAGTGAAAGTGAAGTGTCTTGTACACATGACTGACTGACTGGAGACCTGCGGTGGCTGGACCAGGCTGGAACCCAGGGTGTCCTGTGGCTGGAGGCCAGCGTTGGGATCTGCGTGGTCAGGCAACGTCAGCCCGGGAAGCTTTTAATCTATGAAGATTGACTCAATAAACCAGGTCCCCATGGTGGAGTGGGGGGTTCAGCACAACCCAAGGCCCTGTCCTGTTCCTGCCTTGGGGGCTTACAGTTGCTCCTGGTGGCACCTGCCTTCCTGGGTTTTCAAGAAAGGGGTTGGCGGGGCGTGAGGAGGGAGGGTGTCGCAACGTGAGCCGTTTTCCTGGGCCCGCGACCGTGCAGGAGGGGGTAAAGGACCCGTGGACCTAGGGGACAAGGACACCCTGAAGGGCGGATTCGGCCGAACACCACACACATGCCCCACCAACCTCGCGCCGCCCCTCCCACACCCCGGCGCTCTCCAGGCTGTCCAGTCTGGGCATGCGCGGCGTTGCGGCCTTCGCTGAGCGTGGGGCGCCCTCGCACGGCCACCTCGGGCGGGGCAATCAATTCCGGGTCCCGCCCCGCCGTCCGATTGGCTCTCGAGCGAGAGCCCATGTGCCTGATTGGCCGACCCAACGGGGTCGCGGACGCCGACTGGTCAGGTCCGAGGCCGCGCGCGTACCCAACCGGGCGGTGCTGAGGCCGGCATGGCGGCTGCTAGTCCCAACGCCGATGGGCCGTGTTGCGCCCATTCGGGCGCGACGCCCGGCGCGCGGCAGACGCTGGACGAGATGGACTTCGAGAGGGGTGAGGCGGGCGCGGAGCCGGGGGCGGTCGCCCTGGGTCACCGAGAGCCCGCCCGGGCCTGACACGAGCTCGTCCCCTGAAACGCCTGCTGGCGCACAGTGAGGGAAGTGGGCCCAGCTGCTCACCGGTGCGACGCCGGGACTCCGGCCCTCTAGTCTGTCCGAGAGGGGCGGCCTGGGATCTGCGCCTTCCCGGGGGATAGAGCTGCGGGAAACTAAGGTTTCCGAGCCGCTGTGTCGGGCCCTTGTGCTCTAGAGATAGACATGGCCAGTGTGGCCGTCAAGGCGGGCGATGGTCTCCCCGTGGGGCCCGGAGAGGTAACACTTCTCGCACCTGCCTTCTTTCCTCCACCTCTCCCACTGCCCCTTAAGGGTCTCACTAGCAGTTCTGACACTTAAAGAGTCTTTGGTAACGTCTAGATACATTTCGGGGTTGTTAGAACTGGGAGGGTGCTACAGGCCTCTGGTAAGTATTGACCCAGGGGTGACCGTGCACAAGAAACCTTGACCTGTGTAAAATAGGAGCCCCTTCCCCTCCAGGTTACTCTGATCACCTTTGTTTCATCAGAGCAGTTTTTACAATCTGATGTTACAGGCATACCTAAGAGATACTGCAGTTCGGTTCCAGACCACCGAAAAGGTGTATTCAGTAAAGCCAGTCCTAATCTTTTTGCTGGTGGAAGGTCTTTCCTTCCAGTTTGTAAAATAAGCAACATCTGTGAGGTGCAATAGAGCAAAACAGAGTAGAATAAGGTGTGCCTGTGTTCTGTTTGTTTGATCATTATCTATTTGGAACACAGGGGAAAGATCCTTATCTGTGTGTGGACTTCTTTTTCCTTCATATCTTTCTGGGTTCTTTGCCCTGAAATATATCCTTTAGTGGTTTTTTCAGTGAGCATGTTTCCCCACCACACACACTTACACATTCTCCCTCTCATTGTAATACTTTTGTGGGTGGTGATCTTTTTGGTAACTTGTAAATGTTCTCTTTATTCTTGATGTTCGGTCATTTCACCATGTTAGACTTGTTTTTATTAATCCTCCTTGGGATTTAATATGGTTTTTCATCTGAGAACTTATTGTTGTCTTTACTTCAGGATAATTCTCAGGTGTTATCTCTTCAAACATTGTCCCATTCTATCCAGATTCTCTGTCTCTCTTTTTTATTTTTATTTTTTAGCTGAGCCATCCTACCACTTGTTGGCAGCTCAGCAGCAGCTCAGCTTGGACCGGGAATCGAACCGGCGACCCTGTTGTTCAGAGCTCACACTCTTGAGCAAGCTCTTAATCAACTGAGCCACTCGGCCGGCCCTCTTTTTTTGTTTTTGAAACCTGTTAGACATATTTTGGTACATTCTGTCTTCCATGTTTCTTCACCTCTCTTTAAGTATTTTTCTCTTCATCATTCTGCATTCTGGGAGATTTCCAAGTCATTAATTCTCCTTTCAAATGGGTCTGCAGTACTGTTGAACAATCTATTGTTTTATTTCAGTGATCCTACTTTTCAATTTATTGAATTTGTTATAGATCTGCCTGTTCATTTCCCTCCCCCTAATATTCTGTTGATTTGTGGATTCTATTACTTCATCTCTGTGATGAACACATTAAATATTTTAAAGTCTTTATTTTTTTTTAGATTTTTTTTTTTTTATTGAGGAATTGGGGGAGGGAACAGTGTTGGGGAATCGGGGAAGGGGAACAGACAAGTTGCTGTCCTTTGGTTCTTCAATCTAGTTGTGGAGGATGCCGCTTCACTGGCCCATGTTGGTATTATGATCATTGCGCTCTTCCTGGCTGAGGCAGTTGGTCGCCAGCCATTGGATAGCCACTCACAGCAGCCCAGCTCTAGGTTTAGCTGTTATTCATAATCTTAGCTGTAGAGGGCGCAGCTTACTGGCGCATATGGGAATCGAATCTGTAGCCCTGTTGTTCAGAGCTCACGCTCCTACCAACTGAACCACTCGGCCGGCCCTAAAGTCTTTTAGATTGCACTATTATGGCTAATTTTTGAAGCATGCATTTTCCCACTTGTTTTGCTGGCAGTGGATTTGCAACTTCTTTGAGCTCAACAGGATGGTCCTCTTTTTTAAATGATTCTCACACATACCTTTGCTGGCTTGTGGAGGCGTCCATATAGGGCATGTTTAAAAGTTGCCTTTGGGGCCAGCCGAGTGGCTCAGTTGGTTAAGAGCTCACTCAAGAGTGTGAGCTCTGAGCAACTGGGTCACCGGTTCAATTCGCTGCCGCTTAGTTGTCAACAGGAGGCAGGATGGCTCAGCTAAAAAAAAAAAAAAAAAAAAA